TATTCTAGATAATTAATTCTTAATTTACTGATCTTGCTTTAAGCAGACTACTATATGAAGTTTTCTGCTTCTAGATGAAAAAATGCCCTGAAATCTTCAATCAGTTCTTTTGCTTAGTCTAACAGGTTCATGGTTATGATATCAGTTTAAACTGAGAATCCTGTACTTATAAGTCTTTTTCTTCTACTCTAAATTGTTAAGAAAATGCATTGTTAGTAAGGCTACCATTCTTTGGATGTTCCTTTCAGAAGATGTCGTTTGTAACCTGTAACTTGTAGCAGTGGCTTTTGGCAGAAACTACCCGTTGATGATATGATTGAATTGTATAATATATATTTAGCATAAATTTTCTGTAATAACCAACAGTATCAGAGTGGAGGGGGAATGGAGTCCTCTACTGAGGACATACCTATTTTTTCTTTATGGATTTAGTCATTGATCACCTTGAAATAAGAACATATTGACAACAAGGGCATTGACAAACTTCAAGGTTTTAAAAATTTCATCCCCAATGTCACTACTTGACAGATAATTTACTTCTGAAATAAAATCCTTGAAAAAATCAATTTGACAGTTATTGTGTTAGTCTTTGAGTATAAACCTAAGTATGTGCATCAGTTATCTATTGCCACAATGGCATCATAAAACTTAGTGGCTTAAAACAACAGCTATTTATTATTTCTTGTGCAACAATAATGATGATCTGGTACAGACTTGGGCTCACTCCAGTGGGTGCAACTTCTCTCTTCCCCATGTGGCTTCTCATCCTTCAGAGGTTTGCTAGCTTATTGTCAGGTAGATGAGGGTTCTGAAAGACTGAAACTGTGTAATATCTCTGGAAACACAGAGTTAGAACTGGCACATTATCACTTTCATTGGATTCTATTGGCCAGAGCAATTCACAAGACCAGCTCATAGTCCTAGAGTGGGTGAATAGACTCCACCTCTTGTTGAGTAGGGCTGCAAAGTCACATTGTGAAGATATGGATTTAAGGAGGCATTAATTGGCCATCAATTTACCACACTGTGCTTCTAATATGTTTATGTTAATGTAAAAATATATATGTATTTGTATATTTTGAGATGGGATCTTGCTCTGTCACCTAGGCTGAAGTGCAGTGGCATAATCATGGCATACTGCAACCTCAACTTCCTGGGCTCAGGCGATCCTCCCATGTCAGCCTCCCATGGTAGCATGTGCCACCATGCCTGGCTAATTGTTCATAGCTGTTTTTGTAGATTAAGGGTTTCAGCTTGTTGCTCAGGGTATTCTTGAACTCCTGGATTCAAATGATCCACCTGCCTCAGGCTCCTAAAATGCTGAGATAACAGGTTTGGAGCCATCACCCTTGGCTTTATTAATATTTTAGTTGTTATATATTTAATTTAGGTCAAATTTTTCCTTGATTAGTCACTTCTTTTTCATTTTGAGATTTGATTCACAAGCATGATAAAAGGAATATTTATGTAATAAAAGGAACTTTTTGATATTTAGACAAAATGTACTGAAGTCACAGAATGGTCTTTTCTCTGTCAAATTAAGAGCAGACTATATAATCAAAAATCAGTTTGTCAGTGTAACAAAACGGTATCATATTATAATTTTTTGTTTAAAATATACCACCTATATAATGTTTTATAGTTAAGGATTCTCAAGCATATCTCTGTTTTATGATTAAGCTCATCAAAATTTACCGTTGTCAAAATTTAATATATTAGCTTCTTTTCAAACCCATTATTTGTAAGTACAATTTGTTTTTCATCAAGACTTCTATAAATTGTTCATTTCTATAATTTTTCCATTTGTCTTTAACATTCCAATTATCTAGAGATATAATATTGATCAAAGCTCATCTGTTTCAGACTTAAGATAAAATTCTTTTCTTTTTTAATTGTTATAAAAACCAGAAAGATAACATTCATCATTTTGTAAACATGCTTGCATTTCTTTATATTGTTAATATAATATAATTCTGATCATTCATATTAACTACAGCTTTTACCCCAAATAAGTAACTTTTAATTCTCTTTCTGTTTCTGTGTTGTCTCTCTCTCTCTCTCTCTCTCTGGTACACACATATCCATGTACACACACCCACACACACACATACACACACACACACACCCCCACACACATTCTCTCTCTTTCTCTCTCTCCTCTCTCTCTCTCTCTCTCTCTCTCTCTCTCTCTTTTCAGTAGAGGATTCAAAACTCTGTGACTTTCAAGGCAACTTAGGAGACCAGAAGACTGTAATGACCTAGCGCTGTCACTTCGATAGTACACATTACACATCACCAAACCACCGCACGTATTCTTTTGTTATTTACATCTTGTTAGAACATGAAACCTTCCCTCACTTTTTGGCTTGGCTATTTAACTATTTATATAACAGTCCTCTTATTTCTTCTGAGAGAAATGGGAAAAAGATGTCAACTCAGAATCTCTTAGATTTCACAGTAGTTCTTGAGGCTATGAACAAGCCAGAAGTAATCATTACCATTTCACCTGCATTCCCACTTGATCTCATATGTCAATGACCATTCTTAAAATTTGTTGTATTAACCAAGCAAAAATCCTCTTAGAAAGCACAGCTGCCTTTTTTCTAAGCTATTCAAAACCAGTCATAATTTAAACAAACAAACACAAAACTTTGTTTTCTGTTCTTCTGCTTTTCTGGCAGCTTTGTTTAACAAGATATCTATCTCTCAGTGTACAAAATGATATATATTGACTCATTAATTTAAAAAAATTTTTGAGAGAATGAAAGAAAGAGACAATGAGAAAATGAATCAGCCACTGGTACAAAACAGCTACAGTTATAAGAATATTGTACAAGGCTAATTAATTTCCTTTTGCAAAGAGGAAAGGACTTTTTTTCCCCACATACACACGTAGATACTAAGATAATTAGCAGCCTCAGTTATACACATTTAGATATAGGTCAATAATAAATATAAAGCACAATTTGCTGTGCTTCAATGAATCTCACTGGTTCATTGCAGTTACTTGGGTGTAGGAAGTTCAGGAAGTCAAAAAGATCTCCAACAAATTCTTTTTATCAAAAATTCTTAATCTGTGGCTGATCTCCATTCTAGTGGATGCAAAATTTTCTCTTGAATGACATTCAAACTTGTGTTCAAAAATGGTGTTATGTTAGTGTTCAAATGACATACAATATAGAGAATATCAGGAGATAGCAGAAGCTTCAAGAAAAAAACTGCAGAAAGACAAATACAAAAAAAAAAAAAAAAAAAAAAAAACAGAACTGGGATTTCCTGCCCTCTACCACCCAACAGAGACTTCATGGCTGGGTCAAATAATCAAAATCATACTCAACATTTTAGTTAACCAAGAGAAGAAAAATAATTGTCATGTACAAAACAGAAGAAGACTTGTTTAAGAATCAACTTAACACAAAAATTCAATAAAACAGACTAAGAAAATAATGCAAAAACAAAGTGAGCATGAGTCAGTGATTCACTCTGAGAGTGAAGAAACTGGGGTCTGGGATTCAGAGGTGTAGGTACAGATCACTTTTGGGGAAAGACTCAGCCTTGGTGGGTGAATTGACCTAGGCATCTCAGTCAGTGGAACTCGATTTGTGAGAGGCAGAAATAAAAACATTAAGAAGAAGAAAGCATTTTTATATGTTAAGAATTGCAAGGGAACTAGACTTTGGAAGACTTTGAAAAAAACTGGCTATCATATAGAAAACATAACAGGTTTATGTATATACATATATATGTGACTCAAGGTTACCAAGATTACAGATATCTAATGATAGAAATCATCAGTTTCTCAAATGTTAATAGCTGCTAGGGTCACTGTACTAGGGATTCTCTAAAGGGACAGAACTAATGTTAATCAAGTTAATACTTAATAAACTTCCATATATATATATATATATATATATATACATGTTTTATTTATATATAAAACTAATAAATACTTAATAAATATAACAGAACTAATAACAATTAAGAATTAGTTCTTAATAACAGAACTAATCAAGTTAATACTTAATAAACTCACATATATATGTTTTATGTATATATAATGTTTTATATATATATGGGAGTTTATTAAGTATTAACTCACAAGACCACAGAGAGGTCCCATACTAGACCACCTAGAGGCTGAGAAGCAAGGAGAGCCAGTCAGAGTTCCAAAACTGAAGGATTTGGAGTCTGATGTTTGAGGAGGCATCCAGCATGGGAGAAAGATATAGACTGGGAGGCTAGGCCAGTCTCTCTTTCCACATTTTTCTGATTGCTTATATTTTAGCTGTGCTGGCAGCTGATTAGATGGTGCCCACCCAGATTAAGGGTGAGTCTGCCTTTCCCATTCCACTGACTCAAATGTTAATCTCCTTTGGCAACCCCCTCATAGACACACCCAGGATCAATACTTTGTTCCTTCAATCCAGTCAAGTTGACACTCATTATTAACCACCACAGTCACCTAAAACAGTATTGCTGACTGGCCATGGTTTGCAGTATAACCCTTCCCATCTGCTGATCCTATAGGCCATGATCCTACCACCATAGTACAGAGCCTCTTAATTCAAAGCATTTGGATCAAAGTTACTTTTCAGATGATGTTTGGTTAACAGAATATCAGTGCCAAATAATAAATAATTTAAAATACTCTATAGTTTAAAATAGCTTCTGAGACAGGAAAATTATTTGAACTAACGTGCCCTGTCATATGAAAACATTCTAATTTGAAGAGTTGTAGATATACTGACAAATTCACTTTGTTTTGGAATTTTCTTTTTAGAAGTTAATTTTATCCATGTAATATTGATCTTGGCATTTTCAACTTTCTTTGGAGAACCTTATTGACATGTCCTGGTGATATCATATATTAAATTCTATGTACAAGTTGCAATATATTTCCTATTTCATTGTATTCATCATTGAAAGAATTTAAAACTGTTCGCAAAAATGTTAGTTTTTCATATTTTCTGTAATAAGAAATTGTTATATTTTATTTTTAGGATAAAAGGCACTCCAAGTAAACCTGATAAACTTGACAGTAAAGTTAAAAGAATTGGACCACACATAGAAATCTTCCAAGTGTTCCGAGGAAGAAAAAAATTCATGATTACCAGAAAATTGATTAGAATGATCACCATCATGCAGGCACATGTCAGGGGGTGGCTTGAACGCAAAAGATTACAAAGAGTAATGACCAAGGTAAGATATGCATCAGATATTATAATGTGTTTAAAATTTTTATGTAGATTCAATTAAGTAGAATTTTGAATAGTCACCTGGTCAATATGTCTGTGATTTTTCTAAGTAAAATTCTGTGTACATTTTTTTTTTTTTTTTGAGATGGAGTTTCGCTCTTGTTGCCCAGTTTGGAGTGCAATGGAGTAATCTTGGCTCACCGCAACCTCTGCCTCCTGGGTTCAAGTGATTCTCCTGCATCAGCCTCCAGAGTAGCTGGGATTACAGGTGTCCACCACTATACCCAGCTAATTTTTGGTATGCATACTTTAACAAAATGTGATGCATAATCTGCTATGATTACAGATTTAGACTGTGCAAAGTTGGAGACTTGGAACAAAAGGCCTCACTTATTCTTAACTCAGGAATTCTGGGACCACCTATTCTTAAACCAGGATATTTTGAAATAACTTTACACTAAAGTTGTTTCTTCTTTGCTATCTGTTCATTTTCTTTCTAGAGCAACTTTCCTTCACTTCCCACACTCCTGGGTCTCTTGCAGTGCATAAATGTCCAATTTCAAAAGAATTACACACACATGCAAATGTCTACCTGGTCAAATTTCATAGATTGCAATCCTGATTTTTAAAATATATAATGCAGACTCATTTTTTCTGGGCGAATGCAGATGAACCTAAATGGGTCTATCATGGAAAACCTGAGAGAATCTAAAATGTCCTCACCTTGAGGGCTAAAGTTTTACTACTAGTAAAAAATTTGAGTAATCAACTGTAAATAAAATAGATTAGTAGTGCCCACTTCATTTCCTTGATCTTCTGAGAAAAGCCTCTAGAATAGACTTGCAGTGGACATCATGAACATGTTTCTCTGACAATGTGGTGATACTTTTAGAGTTATACCATATGCCTATTTCTGGGTATAAATTTATATATGTACTAACATGTGTAAATTAATATCAATATGAATCAGAACTACAAATGTAGTTCTGATGATTAAACATGTAAAACTTTGGCAAAAGGTAAACACTCCATATACTTAATCCTGTAATTTTTAAGGTGACTGCTATATCTCTTTTGTGGCTGAAGAAACAAGCAAATTATTTGCCCAAAGTCAAACAGCGGCTAAGTGACAGAACTAGATTTCAAACCCATATCTGTCTAAGATATTGAAAGAGCCATGATTAAATTTGACTTTAATTTCTCCAAAATGAGAAATGAACTCATTTTCTTACTCCCCAAGTCCTTTCTCTTTTGTAACTACCTATATTGATAAACTGTTCTACCATTTATCATTCAAGCCATAAACCTGGATGTCTCCTAGATTCTTTCAACTTTTTCACTCCCACATTCAATTTGTTCCACTTTCATGACATTTGTTGAACTCTTCTTCTTTGTGCTTCTTGCCAGAGTTGCCATTCATCTACCCTTACATGGATAAATGCAATAGTTTCCTGATTGATCTTCATACCTACAGACCTACTTCCATCAAATCCATTTGCCATGTGCCATATTTGAAAAATTCTACTCATTACCTTATTCCACTTCTTAAAATCTTTTTATGGATCTATATTGCTTACAGGATATAGCAGGAACTCTCTAACATAGTACACACGACCTCGCTGTTTTGGCTCTCGCCTTTTGTCCAGCTTTGTCATATGATACCCCCGATACATTCTCTGTGTTTTAGCAAACTGCAAATCTTGATTGTTTCCTGTTATCATATGTTTTCATGCTGTTCTCTTCTCTACCTTCCTTATCTTCTGATAACCTCCAATTCATCTTTCAAGATCTTCCTAAACTGTATTCACTTACCCTGTGTCTGGTCCATCAAGCAAAGCTGATCTCTCCATCTTTTCTTGTCATTATTGTGTCCAGTTCTTTACATTGTTATCATCTGTTTACATATTTGACATGAACAGTATGGTTTATATGACTTATTTGGAAGTATATACTCTTTATTTTTCTGTTCATAGTACCACAAACTATCTTAAACTATAATATATACTCTATTATTTTAACTGTATGCATGTATGATCTACTATTTTTTCTTGTTTATCTCCTGTTGTATACATATACTTTATAGTTTGGCTAAATAGATTGCAAACTCCATGAAGACAATTATCTGTCTGTCTTGTTTGTTTCTGCATTAGATTGCAAACTCCATGGAGACAAGTATCTGTCTGTCTTGTTTGTTTCTCTATTTGAATGCCTAAAATGGTGTTTAATATATAGTAGACACCAACAAATACCGATTGTGTGGATGAATTAATACAATTGTATAAGTTTATCATGGAACCATAAGAATATCACACACCCCCCACACACATTCTTAAAGTTCTATCTACGCACATTTCATACATGCCATATAATTTAATTATAGCATTTTCTAATACTAGAAAGAATTGTAGAACGATTCATAACCTCCGGGATAGAAATGGATCTAGAAAATTTAGGAAGAAATAATGGGCCAAAGATGGGAGTGAAAAGGGGTGATTTGATTGGTAAGGAAAATGCTAAATTTCTATGTGGAGAGAGAATTTGAGATTAAAAAAATGAGAAGTACTTTTAAAGGATCAGAGCCAATATAAAGTAGGTTTTGACTTTTATTTGGTGATAAACTTTGTTATGGTCATTGATTTTCTTTTTTATTCCATCATTGGCATGATGCTTTGTCTGTTAGATGATTGCTTTGTTGATGCGGTTAAATTTGTTTTGCCTACTGTCAAAATCCTAGTGTGACAGGCCTGTAATGCAGTTGATAGTAAGTCTCCTGGACTGTGCCTATGTGAAGGGTTGCTGCTGGGGGAATTCTTGATAACTTTCTGCTCTAGAGGCTGCATAGCAAATCACTGGATAATTGTCAGCAGTGTGGCAGTCCATCCACTGGGAGACTTCCATAGTCATATTGCTTTACTGCCACTTCAGAGTTTGTTGTTGTGGACAGTGTCTGCTAGAAGTTTGAGATTACTCAAGAGACTGCATAATTTCCACCATTTTCTATGAAAAAATGTAGCTTGGAATTCTTTGGAAATAATAAAGCAGCATCAAATTTTCTTACCAGTAATATAGCAAAAGATAACAGAGATTGCTCTATTTTAATATGAATATTTTTTCCACAATTCAAAATGTCCTTTTCCTTAAAAAATTTTTGTGTTGTTTGCATGTGTTTTGGTATAAATAATAATGATATTAAAAATCATAAAGACCCAAAAGAGGGTACATTTCTCAATGTAATGCTTCTAGGATCTTCCTTAATTTCAATATTTTCCTCTAAATATTTATAATTTTAAAGTTTTAATCCTAAATTAAATATACTCCATTGCTATTGGCTAAAAGTGTTGAAATTCCAGGATATTTGAATTGTTGATAGCTACAATAATAAAAAATGTTTGAAATTGACTTTTAATAAATATTTGTTGAATCAGTAAATTTGGAACAGTCTTGGAGAATCTGAGTTTCAGTATTACCAAAGCAATGTCTTATACATAACTCAATGGTCTTCAATATTTTGGATGTTATAGACTTGTTTGAAACTTTGATAAAGTAGGAATTTCCTATCATCTCAAAAGAACAAAACAGAAATAATAACAAAATCTGAAACTATTCATGGACATGTCACCTTGTATAGTAGCAATCCCCAACTCTTATGGTGCCAGAGACCAGTTTCATGGAAGACAATTTTTCCGTGGACCAGGGCAGGAGCAGGGATGTTTTCAGGATGAAACTGTTCTACTTCAGATCATCAGGCGTTAGAGTCTCATAAAGAAAGCACAGCCTAAATCCCTCACATATGCAGTTCACAATAGGATTCTTTCTCCTATGAGAATCGAATGTTTCCTCTGATCTGACAGGAGGAGGAGCTCAGGTGGTAATGCTCACTTACCCACCATTCACCTCATGCTGTACAGCCTGGTTCCCAACAGGCCACAGACCAATAGGTCTGTGGCCCAGTGGTTTGGGATTCCTGTTGTGTAGAAAAGTTTTATTAAATAACATCATGTGTACTAACACAAGTATCTGGAGATCTATGTTCATTTATTCAATAACATATGTGTTTTTTAATTTGATAATAGTTACTATATAGTGACTCCAGTTTCCTTCCTGGTGTGTGAAGAGCATACATAGTCTAGTGAGCAATGTAGACAACTAAAAGAAGTCTTAGATATCATTAGAGCATTTAGAAAGGCCATTTAACCCCAAGTGTGTTTAGTGTGGCAACTACATAAGATCAATAAACTGAGATCTGGAGGGTGAGGGGTAACTTTATTTTGTCAGGTAGACTGGAAGGCTGAGAGGCACAGGAAAGACAGTCTCAATGAGCTTAGGTTAGCTAATTACATTCAGGGGACTGGAACATATTTGGGAGGACAATAAAGGAAGCTGATGGTAGGAGTCAGATTAATAATGCTCTTAAAAACCTTACTAAGGAGTTTATACTTGGTGTCTGAGAGTGGATGTCTTTAAGGTAGATCAGTGACATGAATAGATTTGTATTTTAGAAAAATTACTGACTTTGGACAATGATTTGGGAGGAGAGGGTGACAAAATGGAGGGAGAATAACTAGTATGCTTTTTCAATCAACCAGTGCATGGTGGTGATAGGACTTTGGGTTTGGTTGTATTTGGAGATAAGGAAGAGGGTAGAGTCAAGAATGACTCCCAGGTTCTTGTCTTGAGAAATCTGGTGTATAGTTGAGAAATGCAGAATTTAAGGGGAAGGGCAGGCAGGAGGGAGCAGAAGAAAGGAACAAACATAGAGTCCAATTTGCAACACTGAGCTTTTAACACCGAGTCCCAATTGTCAACAGTGAGTTTAAAGTTTCTGTGGGAAATCCTTGAGATGTCTGGGAAGCAGTTGAGTATATGGGTCCAAAATTCAGAAGAGAGATTAGGCCATATAGAAAGACTTGGGATTCATCAGTAGTTCTTAAAGTCTTTTCACTGAGGAAGAATATAAAACCCTCTCATCCATAAAAGTACCTCATTTTGGCCATGAATCTCATC